AAGTAGATCAGGAGGACATAGCCAGCTAGATTTGGACCTGGAATGGGGAAAGGAAGAGCCAGGCATGGAAGTCTGGCACGAAGCTGGGATGGCATGGCGAGTAAGGGGGTTCAGAGGTGTCCCTTGAAACGGAGGGATGTTAGGAGAGATGCTGGGAGGGGGCCTTGGGAGTGAATGGAGGAAAGGAGGACACCGTGTCCCAGCAGGACTACAAAACATGCCATCTTCAAGCAATAAATAAATTTGTGTGTGGGTCTGCAGTTTTGAAAACATCTGTTTATTTTGTCTGCCTCTGTGATTAGGAGGCCAATTAGGGCTTATCTACCTGGGGAAATCCCTGCAAAATAAGCTAGTGTATGAATTCACAACCTACTTAAAGACCCGGCAGTGAACGCAGTATAAATTCACACTTGAGCGTACTTCACAGGAACTCCCCCGCAGAAACAAACCCTCGGAGTCACCTCTGTACCTCAGTGTGGTGCTAAAAGTGAGTGGAAGCTTCTCAAAATGTGGGCCTCCAATTCCATTTTTATAGCTGGGTTTTTTTTTTTTTTTGTCTCTTGGGTTTTTTTGCAGCCACTGTAAATTGCTGTGACTGAGCTGAGGTTGAGGAGCTGGGCCAGTTTACACTGCTCAGGATGTGACCCTTTGCCTCAAGTAGCCTTTTATTTATCAGTTGGCCTGAGGGTATTTTCTTCTTTCCTGGCTTCATTATTAAGCCTGTTCACTCACTCCCACCACTGCTGATGTCTTTTTTTTCTTTTTCTTTTTTTTTTTTCCTGTGAATTTTGTGTTGTGTCTTTCCTCCCATGTAATTTCCTAATAGTGAACTAGTGACAGAGTGGGCTGCTGGTATTTCATCTTGTGGCTGGAGAGGTCAGGCTGCCTCTGATACAGACAAACACTCCATTACAGTAAACTCACAGAAAGTTTCCTTTTTAACCTGAAAGGAGCTAAAGGCCAGTTTGGTGGTAGTCTGTGTAAAGGGGAGGGAGGGAGAGAGAGAGAGAGAGAGGAAGGCATTCTATTTTTTTCATTCTCTTTTTGCTGAGATTAAGAAGGTCTTGGTTCTTTGCCAGATTATAGTCTTCCAGTAAAAACATCATTCCTTTGCATTGTGAGTTATTAAAGAAACTGTCATTACTGAGGTCTAGCTAAAAGGGCATAAGGAATTAAACCTTCAGAGTTCTCTGTCTGCTTCTGATATTTAGAGAAACTTGCTTCCTGGCAGGAAGAACTCAGTGATAAGGCAGATACATAGCGCGGTATATTAATATAGTGCACAGATCAAGTACCTCTCCTCTGAAGGACAGCATCAGAGCAAATATTCCCTGCTTTGCCTCTCCAATACTCTGAGCAAAACCTCAACTGTTGAACATGACAGTCCCTTGGCCTTTTTTCCTAGCACTTTTGCTGCTGTACACCTGGAAGGTCTGTGGAGTAACTGATTGGCGTATAGCGAGGGTGAGACACAAGAAGCTGATGGGAAACTTTAATTCCTCTTCTGCTCATCATTTTTTAATGTTTGTGAAAGCATGCATGGTTGCCAGATTTGACTGCAGAAGGAGCCCTGTGCAGTAAAATCCTCCTGGCAGATTGCTGCCTGTGGTCTGGTGCCCTCTGGGGAAGTTCAGCCCTGTTGCGCAGGGCCGCAGTACAGCTGGAAATGTCTCTGTGCTGGGCCCGCTTTACTCAATGGGAGAGTTCAATGCATGCAGTTTTAGTTAATTTTTCATTTGAGTGCATGTCTACTGAAAACCCTTTTCTCCAGTGAACTGAGTTCATGACTTCTGTTAAAATGCAGTGTTGAGCTAGTACTATGCTGTTTCTCTGTTGAGATTTATGCGCTTCTTTCACATTTTTTGGAGTTCAGCAAGTATTGCAAATATATTTCCAAAAATAGAATTTGACCTTCTGTAAAAATCTACTACCTACAATAAACAGTGAGTCCTGTGGATTTACACCATCTAGTATTTATTGTTCTTTTGAATGACAGTGTTTCTTTTTGTTCACGGGAGTAATTTAATTTCTGTAGAGAATAATAATTTATGCAACTAAAACACATGTAAGGCTGTGTTCGCTTCTGAAAGCACCAAGGTAGTGCTATTGCGTGTCACATGTTTAATGAATTGGGTGGTAAGGTGACAGATGTTATTTGGACTGTGACTGTTCTTTGCGGTGGGTGGTTTTTTTGGGGGGGGGGGGGAGTCAGTTAAGCATCCATTGTATTCTCTATATGCCAATAGTTTGGGTAATTCAAAAGGCTCTGTCTAATTAGCAGATATTGAAAGTTAGCAGTAGTGCTGTTTTTTTGAGTTACATATGGACAGTTGTCTGCATGCATGGTGCCATCTGCATAAAAGATGTGATTTACTCTCTGGTTAAAAAGAGCTCAAATGCAACTGTTTGTCTCTACATGATAAAGCAACTTTCCCTGCTGCACTCTAGTGCAAGAGTAAAAACGTTGCCCCTGTCTACTTGCTTGCAATTTAATTTACTTTTATTACACTGGTCCAGGACATACACAGGAGTCTAACTCTGTAATGTATGATGAGGTAGTATGTATCCAGTATTACAATGTTCTCTGTGTATGACAGAATAATTTGACATATAAATGTGCTCCCTACTTCTCAGGGGAGAGACAAATGGAGTGTTTTTTTTTTTTTTTTTTTACTGTTCACTGCTTGGGCTTGGGTAGATTCCCCTTTATTAGAAGGGCATGAAATTAATCTAAATGTTAAAGGAATAGGAGCTGCAAGGTAATAAATATTTATGTCCCAAACTTGACATAATATCACACGTCAATAATTTTTGAAGAGATTTAAATCTTCTTTCTACCCAGTTACAAGATTGGTGGCACCAGTTTGCTTAAGTTTGTTTCTGTGGTAGCTTCTTACTGTGGAGTAATCTTATGCTTCTCTCTTCTACAGAAAATGTAGTATTGATTTGCTGATTTCCTTTTTAAATGCAGTAAAAAAAAAAAAAACTGTTTGCTAAATTAAGAAACCAATAACATGGAATGAGAACACAGTACATTTCAATGCCCAGGCTCTATGATTTGTTCACTTTGACATGTGATGTCAGTTACTAAAGTATAAGTTTATATTAAATATAGAATATTTTCCTTCCTCTACAGTTCTGCTACTATACCTATATAGTGGAAAAAGTTAGGTTAAAGGGTAGTTAAAGGCTTGGTTAATTTAAGTGTGTGAGCATATTACCATTCAAAGATTGGATTTCGAAAGATAACTTTTTGCAGTTGAAGCTGCTCTATTACTTGAGTGAACATTGCAAGGTCAAACGTGCAAGTGAAAAGAAAGTCAGTAGAGGAGTGTGTGTGTGTGTGTGTGTGCGCGCGCGCACACCTGTGCTAGGCATAAGTCATAAATATTACATATTCTTGATACTTTTCTTATACCTTTCATACACTGCTTTTTATTGTTTATGTAATATTTGCAGGGAAGACACTGTCCTCCCACTGCTCTTACTTTGTGGTGTGTCTATCTGCAGCACATCTAGTACTTGGTCTAGACAGCTTGGCTAAATTATAAGTCTTGGAAATAGGATCTCATAAGGAGGTGCACTGGACAAACGTAACTGTAAGTAGTGCTACCAAAGTGTTCACTTTATATTGCACAGTAAGCACATTTCAGTTGGTGGCATATGACTGATTCTCTTGTAAAAGCTGCTTGGCAAGGGATACTCTCTAAAGCTTGGGGAGCCGACTGGAGCAGTGCTCTCACAGAGTCAGTTCCTGCCTGTCTGACACTGCGCTGACTGAAACTGAAACCATTTTTCTTTCCAACTGTAGATGACATAGGCATTTGTTTTTCTGCCTCAGCCACAGGGTAGGTGCAAGCCCAGCCAGATCTGTATCTTACTGCAGTTGCAGTGTCTGTGCCAAATTTATATTTAAAGATGTCCTGATTACTCTAGTCAAAACCCACTTTAAAGAGAATAGCTAGAATTTTTTCAGAGGGAGAATAATTCTCAAATCAATGATCAACAAAATGTTAAATGAAGAATGATGCATGTCTCTTGCACTCTTCACGCTTCCTACAAGAAGCCTTTTCAGAGGCTGGCTGTGCCTTATTTCATCTAGTTACCGGCTTTATGTATTTGGAATGAAAATGCACAAAATCCCATTTACCCTTGGGGAGATAAAGCGCCATGTTATACTGCACAGCTGGGTGTTTCAGGGACAACTGAGCTTGACCCAGTCCCTGGGACTGTTCCCCTAGAGCTCGAACTGCTCTGTCATGGGCGTGGCTCAAACCCTCCTGCAAAATGGGCAGCTTCTCCATGGTCACTGGAGTGTAAGGTCATTGCACGCAAATCTTGTACCTCTGTATGGTGTTGCTGCTCCCTTGGGTCACTTCTGCTTCCTGGCAATGCTGCTGTTGCTGAGAGTGCCCTGACAGCCTGCCCTGCCGGGTGTGTACCTGCAAGAGCTTTGAAAGCAGCTACTGAGAATCCAGCTGCTTCACACTGGCAGAGCCTTTTCTTTCCTGCCACTTCCCCACTTAAGCAGCTTGGGCCCAAGTAGACCCTCTACAGAAGGGCAGAAGTACCGCAGAAGCCGAGCCAAGGAAATAAATACTAGCTATGTTGAAAGGGCAGGGTTACAGGTGTTTTTTCTGGACAGAGAGTTTTATGCAGGATACAAAATCACATAGAATAAATCTCATGAATAGATTTCTAGGCCCTAGGGCCAGTAATTCCTTTTCCTCCTCTCTGAAAAAAAAAAAAAAAATAAAAAACTGCACTTTTTTGGCAGTAGCCTTCATATTGGACATATATGTGATACAAACATCTACACACAGGTAAGCTGTGGCACACTTGAGTTTCTCATGGAACAGCCATCGACTTCTACAAGAATTAGCTTTTGTGTTTTTTGTCATTAATATTGCTATTGTTTAATCACTGCTTTCATGATAGCTTTATAGGGTTATGGTGTTAAGAAGCCACAAACTGAGTTCTTAATTTGTCTAAACCTTTAGACATTCCAAAAGAAAAAGACCATTCAGATAAATTAGATGACCTATATCCTAAGCTGCCTGAAGACTGAGGATCTGGTCTAAGCCAAGCATATGGGCTCCAGCTCTCTCCCTCTCTGTCTCTCATTACGAAAGGTAGCCAGGGAGTGATTCATCAGGTAAGACAGTGAATCACCTTCTAGTGATCCTATCTCTCTCTGCTGGTGATGAAAAGAGCCCAGATGACTAGCTAGATTAGGCATCAGCATTAAGTTAAAAGGTGCATGCTTTTCTTGCTCAGAGACAGAGAATTGTGAATTTAATTTACAATTGGCCATGTTTAGTTGTAAATGAACATAATGGTTTGAAGTGCTGCGTGTCTGTAGAGGCAGATGTTGCCCACAGACAGAGATCAATATGCTGCAGATGTTGAGCACACGTATATGCCCAGAGCTCCTCTTTGCCACGTGTTCAGTGAGCATTGCTTGCATGGCGTGGTTGAGGCACAGACAGAAATTCCCTTCTGCCAACACTGTCAGGGCAGCTCTAACCTAGTGGGTGGACTGCATGCTGCTGTCAGAAGCCTCACTTCTGGTTTCCTTATGGCAGCAGCGCGTCTAGGTTAGTTAGAGGCTGGAGTTTTCTTTACTGAAGCTCTTTTCCCATTGGGAAGATTCACGTGTACTGAAGATGTCCTGCACTGAAATAGCTTGTTCCCCTTCCTGTGGGAGGCATCAGCACCTTTTAGATCGGTGCTGCTTTGTCCATACTAGACAAAGCAGGGGTCACATCACATTTAAAGAGGCCTTTTATGTTGCTAGCATAGTGCAAGCAGGCATTTGTATAAATGAGCACTGGGACCTAAAATTACAAATGTGTCTTTACAGTTCATGGAAGTTCTCCTCTCTCTAGGAAAAAGAGGGCTACTGTGAGTCCTATTCCATGCTGGCCAAGTTATTTCTAGTGCATAACATGAAAGACAAATCATAGAGATTATCTTGTGAAGAGCATGAAACTGGATTCAGCACACCTGTCTACAAGAAGGTAATGTTTATCAACAACTGCAGTACACAGCTATTACTTTCTTTGTCCCTATTCCTGATCTTTTCATGTATTTTAAAAAAATTGTTGTCTTGGATTATCTGCTTTATCTAAACTCGGGCATGCTATTTGTAGTGTTATCATTCAAATCTAAGACTTTTTCTAGAGATGATCTGTAACATTTCATAATTATGAGAAAAGCTGGGGAGATATCTGAGTCTACAGAGGAGTGTCTTGCTGTAGCATGCTTCAGATTTAGCAGCACAGCCAAATCTTCTTCTAGTATATTATAATTCAATTAGCTCCACATCTTGACTCCTAATCTGTTTCTCTGGGCCAGAGCACAACAAAAAGACAAAAAGGGAAATGTAAGGAAGTAATGGTGATCTTTGCCACATGGATTTGGTACCATCTGTTAACATGACTTCTTCTAAAGTCAATTTCAAATTTGTTTGTTGAATTGGGTTTTCATGCTATGAATAACATCTCCCTTCACTGTGAAGCTGTCAGATACAGCTCCTCTGAGAAAACCTCCCTGCCAGCCTGAGATCTGGGACACAATCCCCTTCTGCTCAAAATTACCATACTCCCAGAAAGCAGTGGCACTCAACACTAGCTGAGGATCAACGCCATAGAGTCCTTCAAGGGCAAACTCTAATGGGTAGTGAACCAAAACGTCACCCCAGAAGAGTGGGGCCATGAACACCCTTGGCAGAGCTCCCCCAGGTGGGTTTTGGGCCTCTGGGCTTCCTGTGCCATGGCTCTTTCCTGGCTTCTCTGGAATATTACTTCACTGTTAACTTGGTCTGTTTACCCTTCCGTCAGAAGGGTTGATGTTTCCGATTTCTCTCCCTCTTTTTCACTACATCTGTCAAACAAAGTGTTAGAAGGGGCTTCAAGCGCTCATCTGTTCAGAGCTGGCCAACCTGTGCCTTGGAGATATATGCAGCTGTTGAGTGCTTCAGGGATGGCTCTCACGCTGGGAGAACTTCTTGTACAAAAGCTTTTGTGCTCACCAGGGCTGCTAGCTGGTCAGATGTCCTGGCTGCGGGTGGAAGTGAGCTAGCAAGGGTTGCTAAACCAGCACCTCTGGAATGCCCAAACCATTCTGATGTGAAGAAACAGGGCTCTGGCCAGCCTCTGTCACCTCTTCTCTATCAACTCCTCCTGGGCTTCTCCCACCCCTCAGCTCTCTGAGATGTGTTGTACGTGTCCTGTTGCTCTCAGCAGTGTAAGCGCACTTTGTGTGGTTTGTAGATTGGCCTTTCCAGGCCAGTCTGTCTCTCTGCCCCAGTGTCATTCTTCACAGATGTTTGTCTAATCTGTTCCTAAAGACCTCCACTGATGGAGACTTTCCACTCTTTTTCCGTTAACTTCTGCTAATACTTTACTATCAGCTTTCAGGAAGGTTTTCCTTGTGTGCACACTTTTCCCACAGCAGTTATCACTTGTCATGCTCTTCTTGTCCTTCCCACTGGGTGTGCAGAGTCACAGCATCATGTATCACAACACTCTTTGTCACCATTTTTGTTACCTGCCAGTCACATCTCAGTCATAGCAGGACATATCACAACACTGTTCTTTGTCACCATCTTTGTTACCTACCAGTCACATCTCAGTCACCTTCCCTGTAGCAGCTGCAGGGGCTAATGGCATCAGACTGTTAATCTTTTCACTGTGTTTTACTGCCTTTTTTCCGGTCCTCTTCCCTTTCTTGTTCGTGTATTAATCTGGCAGAGACAGGAGAAAGAGAACAGAGCAGTCAAATGAGATCAAAGTCTGTCTTTTGAAACCTATGCAGAGAGTAACCACTGTTCCTTTAGAGCAGGAGCAGAAAATAGCAGCTTGTGTCACTTTGTGTGATGATGATTGTAATAAGAATGGGAAATAGTATGTTTCCCTCATGTCTCTTGCAGCCTCGAGAGTAGATGAATGACAATTTTGGTTCTTTCTCCTCAGATGGAGGAGTGGATGACTAATGCCAATGTGACTGCTGCCATCCAATTGGCTCAGAAGAGTTTTCCGGTTGTTCTCATGATTAGCATCACTTCCCATCATGTGCAAGCCATTGGAGAGCAAAGACCTTCTAGTCTGTAACAGTTTTGATCTGTCATGGTATATGAAAGAGAAATAAAGGTACAGGGTTCTTGCAGCAATTCAGTCTATGAAGTATGCATGAATCAGTATTCTGATCTTCCTGTGAAGCAAATGGTGATGACTGATTTGTTTCTACAATTGCTAATTATAATATGTTAAAAAATACTTGGTGTTGACATGACTTTTGTGTAAAATTTCTGTGAAGTTGTGATATAAGAGGGACTCACCAGAAAGGTACCGTTGAAATATTTTTGCCTTGAGTCAGTTTGATGGATTTCAAATGTTTGTTGAGCTGGATTGCAGCTTCTTACTTAATGTTAAGCCTGAGCCATCTGCCTGAGCTGCTGTAGTGTTTCTGGGGCATGTAGCATTGTATCCTGATTATTTCTTACAGCCACTTCCACCTCTCCCCACTCTAAACTAGGGTGCGCTGCAGCCTCCCTTCTTGCTACTGAAGTGGCAGATCATGGGAAAAAGCTTGGTCAGAGAGTCTTACTGTGGAAGGATAAGACAAACTGTTTAATGCCAAACTGGCTCAAAAAAAAAAAAGCTTTGATTTGGTTCCATTCGTTGAAATAAAATATTTCAATTCAGGAATACCCCAACACTTCATTTTGCATCACAAGTGTTGAAATAAACACTTTGGCACTTGTTAATGTCAGATTATGAAGGTGAGGGTGTGAATTTCTCAGGTGATGTGGACAGGAGACCCTCCCTCTCACATAACAGAGGGTGCTCTATACAGGGGTTGTGTGGGGAGAGGTGGTGGTAGGGTGATGAAGAAATATGAGTCTATCCCATTGCACCATTCTCCAGCCTTGTAAGAAGAGGGCTTTATGCTCAGTAGGAAAGAGGCCAGTGCCACAGTTACCTGTGTAAGCAAAAATTAAGAAACAGAGAAGAGAAACATTGGAAAGTTAATAGAGAAAAACGTAGTAGGGCCACTAGAAGGTTAGGAGGACAATCTGAATGCAAGCATGGGAAAAACGGAAAGAAACTGAGACTGCAGGATAGAATCAAAATGAATACTTAATTGACATGTTAGAGACTTGCTGGGATAAATCACAGGGCCGGAGTATTAGCACAGCTTGTTCTCATAGGGCAGGGTAGAAGAAAGGGAGAGGTGTTTGCACCATCGTTGAAGATTATCTCTGCTTGTTCTGAAATTCTGGAATAAATGAGGGACAGGCTTGTCTGAATGAAGTTAGAAAGAGGGAAAGAACAGCGCTTATATGACAGGTGGGTATAGTTTTAGCCACCTCACTGGGAGGAGTGGGAAGCTGTTTTTGAGTAGTTCTTGGAAGTACCTAGTAGTCAAGCTTCAGTGGTAATAGGCACTGTTTCTGGAGAGTGCTTGGAAAGGGAGTGCGGCAAAAAACTGTATCACGGTCTTGGAAGATGTTGGCACAACTGTGTTTCACAAGGTATGAGACATTATTAGGGAGTTATTTTAGCCTTGAGCCCTTCTGAAAGGGAGGAATTGTCTGAGCATCTAAAGAAGGAGATGTTAGTGAAACTGAAAATGTGAATCCACGCTTTCCAGAAAGAGGTTTGGATTCCTAGGCAGATAGTGGAACAGACTATCAGCCAATCAGTCAGTACAGATTTGGTGTAAGATAGTAAAAACTATATTTGCCAAGAGTAAATAAAATTAAATTAACATAATTTCCCAATTTGATAAGGCAGCTAGCTAAGGAAAAAAGTGAACAGTAGATAGCATCTAGATATTCTTTTGATCTCAATATATCTCTTGATCCTGGCTTTTGACATTGTTCTTCATTATACTCTCTGACTAGATTACCAGTCAAAATCTGAGTAGATTACCCAGGCAATATTGTCTGGTTGGACAAGTATCCTTGTTAGGTGATTGGGTAAAGAGAGACGGCTTAAGCATTAGAAAAAATCTTGTAATAGAACAGGTAGTAAAATGACAACACCAGTTATTTAGGGAGGAAGTGGAATCTTCTTGACTGAATTGTGATGAGAACAAGTCCGACAAACGGTGGTCTAAATTGTTTATTCTGCCTTAGAGCACGGGAAGAGACTAAATAATCTTCCCGGATCCCTTCCAGGCATGGATTTCTAAGCCTCTATTAAATAGGCACTTTGGAGAACATTTAAGATCCCTGCTTGTCAGATTGAGTCAGGACAAGGATAAACACTGAACTATGGAAATTTTTCCTTGGGGTAGGTGTGTACGCATGCATGGGCACTGGGCTGTACTCAAGGAAAAGGTGTATTCTCTATCTGCTCTGCAGAACTTTAGACAGGGATACCCAGTTTTTCTGATTAAAATACTGCACATCAGACCATCGTAAGCGTTTCTGGCGGCTACAGCAGATTATCTGAAAATGTTTTTGTACTAACCTAATCTTATTAAAGAGTTATGCTCCACTGATGAGGAATGAAGGAAGGGCATGTGATGGAAGTGTGCGCTTCAAACAGCTCAGATTGCTGCTGGCAATTGCGTGCTTTTATTTGGGTAATGGAGCACGAACTGTATTTGTAAAGATTATTCAGCAGTTTCAAATAACAAAAATATTTTAAGAATATCATGCCCTTCTGGAGGCAACTGGCAAACAGGAAGAGAGCCAAAGTTCATCGAATAAATGAGTCATTGCTTCTATGTCCTTCCCTGAGATACCCATATAAAAATCTTGCTGGCTTCAGCCGGAGTTGTGCTTGGG